ATAGAATTCCGAGTTGAGACACAATTTCACGTTGGCGAGCACGCAATGATCGAACCTCGAGGCGTCGCCCACGAATTCGTTTCGCCGTCCGGTTTGCAGCGCGAATATGACGTATCGCGGCTTCTCCAATTGCGGCGCGGCTTTCACGGCCCACGAATGCTTGGTCGTGCTCTGCAGCAGGGGAAATTCGTACAGGTCCCAAGAGCGAAAGCCCGCGCTCAGAAATCGTCCGCTCTCCAACGTTCGCAACAGCGATAATTTAGTCACGTCGTTTAGCGCCACGTGAGGCATACGCCATTGCACCTTCAGCAACGTAATTTTAGGATTCTTGGCCGGATCTCTCGGCACGGTCTTCTTCGGATCCACGACGCAGTTGTGGTCGTTACAAGAGCGTATCAGGATAAGTTCATGTCGCGCGTTTATCACCACGCGTCTGTAGTCCTCGCAGAAACCCAAAAGAATATTCAAAGGTACGCAAAAGTTGAATTGATGGGACGCGTTGTTCAGATTCGATTCGCTCGTCGAATAACTCCATCCGGCGTTCTGCAGTCTTCTGGCTTGTTCGGTGGTCAGCGACACGTAGTTCTTTATCGTGCTGGTTATGCCGACGTCTCTACACCGGTCGATCTCCACGCCGTCGAGCTCGTATCGAATTTCGTCGAACATAAACGCGACGCAGTTGTTGACTAATTTCGCGTATTGTTCCTCATTCGTCGCGCCGTCGTCGTTGAGTCGTCCCTCGACGTACAGGAAACTGTCGCACGGCAGCGTATACAGATCCTGCTGCTGTATGGGTATTCGTATCTCGTCGTTGTGCCCGAACGTCGTGTTGACGTACGGGTTATACGTGTGAGTCTCGATTCCGACGATGCACTCGTCGAAGATTGGCTCACCGCCGATACTCAGGATGTCGGCCATGGTTTTTCCTCTCGAAGTAGAAACGACGCGGTAGTGACGCGTTTCTCACGGCGAGACCCAGCGATTGTAGGAACCTGACGTTGGCGTTGCTGAGAACGGCTCTTTCTCCTCCTCCGCTTTTCTTCCCTACGCTTCCAATCTCGTCGTAGAACGGGCTAGCTCGCTCGTTCAATTCGCGCTAGATCCGTTCAGAACGAGCATCCCTTCTCTCGCTCTCTTTCTTCAGGGATACGCGCACACACACACTAACCGTGACGACGTATGTGCAGTCTAATCGTTATCTCCTCGCCGCGAAAGTCGATCAGCCGATCTTTCTGATTCACGACTCGCACCGTGATATCGGTGACGTTTCGCGCGACGATCGGGAGGTAAATGATCTGCGTCGGAGTCTCCGACAGTTTATATCCCGGTGGAACTTTCGGCGCGAATTCGTGTATCGCGTGCACTGAGCGTCCGTTGCTGTACGCTCCCGCGGTGATACTGCACTCGATGCGAATTATGTTCACGCTCATGACGTCAACAGGTCCGTCGGAAACGTACCATTTGTTCGGTTTTAAGATACGATCGCTCGAGAAACCCAAAAGAGAACCGATGCTGTTTGGTTTTGCAAAAATCACTCGGTAGGCGCACTTTATCTCGCTCCTCATGGTATTCTCGTTGGCGCGAAGATCGAGCACTCTATCGCCACCGTCGTTGTCCCCGTAAATGTCATAACCGTCGCCATCGTCGTCGTCTTCGTCCTCGTATATGTGATAAACCTCGTCGTCGGCTTCGTCCTCGTATATGTGATAAACCTCGTCGTCGGCTTCGTCCTTCGTTCGGTTTTTTTCTTTTACCCGTCATTCCAGCGTCATTGGTTTGCGGTTTTCCTCTTTTCTCTTTAATTTTGTCTCGCGGGCGCGACGTTCGCGATAGAGAAGAGCGGCGCGCACATATCTGCTCACGGCTTGCAGCTCGTACGAACTTTCCGGAACGACGATTCTCCGGTTGTCCTCGCCGTAGTAAAAGCGATTGTTCGCGGACGTTGCGACCGGGCACTTCCCAACAGCCGCGTCGCTTGACAAAACAGTAACCCCGGGTGATACTACAGAGATTACCCGTTGCGGAGCCACGCGCGGCACAGGCAGAACGAGCGGTGGAGGGAGCGCAGCCGCCTCAAGGAGACATAGCAGCGACATCTGTA